GGGGGGGGGGGACAGCCGCAATGGGCCGGTCCCCGCTCTCGACCGGCCTTTCAAGGGCGGAAACAGTGCGCCACATGGTCCGGGATGTACGTGCGGAAGGTCTTGTCCGAGATGGAGGCCCACTGGGCGAACTGGCGGGTGAACTCCATCAGCAGCGGGACCTCGGGGGGGCAGGACCCGAAGGACTGCTCCTCGGGCGTGGCATTGGCCACCAGGTTGAAAACGGTCCGGATGTACTGGCCCACGTAGGCCAGGAAGATGAGCGTCGTCTCCGAGTGGAACTGGCGAAGCTGCAGGCGCACGCGGGAGGACCGGCGAGTCAGTTGGCGCCGACGGCCGAGGCGAGGACCCAGGGGGGGGGGGGGGGAGGGGCTACGGCGGCAAGAGGTGCGAGCGAGCTGGGCAGCCCCGGGGCCGGACGTACCAGAGTCATGACACCGACGATGATGGCCGAGCCGTCGGGCGAGTTGCGACCCTTGCCCAGCAGGCTGCCGGACACCGGGTCGAAGGTCAGGCGCTGCATTTGGCTCAGCACGTAGAGGAAAATCAGGAAAGGCAGCAGGGGCTGTGCGGTGGTGGGGGAGCCCGGACAGGGGCGCGGGCGGCCGGCGACACGGAGGGGTTAGCACCAGGGCGGGCTGATGGGGCGGCGGGGGGAGCGGGGGCGCGTGCCGCCCTCGCGGCCTGCCTTCGGGCCCTCCCCCTTCCCCCATCGAGAGGGATGCCGATCGGGCCGGCGGGAGGGGGGGAGCCCCAAGGCGCCACACGGGCACACGCACCAGCGGCACGGTCTGCGTCAGGATCTTGGCCAGCGGGTCGGCCGCGCCGGACGCCTCGGCGAACTCGGCCAGCTCGAAGAGCAACGCATGGTCGTCATTCCCCGGGTACGGGTGCAGGACGTCCGTCTGGGAGGACGCCTGCATCAGCTGGTAGTGCCGGCGCACGGCGGTCATGGTCGAGGCGTCCAGCGTGTGGCGGACATCATTCAGGGACGTGGCCTCCAGCCGGGCCTGGACCGAGAGCTCGCGCGCCAGCTGCCGGCGCAGGATCTGCAGGTGCCCCAGGGAGGTGACCACCTCGCCCACCAGGGCAATGGCCTTGCTTGCGGCCGACACGGCCCCGGCATAGAAGCGCAGTGGCCGCTGCGAGGTGGCCACCACGCGCGTCAGCGGCTCCAGCTGCTTGGAGGTGTCGTTCAGGCTGGCCACCGCGCGGGCATCCTGCTTGTTCAGCTGGCCGAGCCCCGACATGAAGGACTGCAGCGCGCGCACGCTCATGAAGCCGTACAGCCGGCTGAGGCCGGTCACGCCGTGCGACCCGATGGCGTCGATCAGCAGGTTGAAAGAGCGCAGCGAGAAGACCTCGCTGCGGGGTGGCGCGGCCAGAGGGGACGAGGGGGTGAGTGGGGACCCGAGGGGAAAGAGCACGAATGGCGGTGCCCGGTGGCCCGCGGGGCTGACGTACTCCTTGGAGTTCCGGTCATACCACGAGGCGGTCATCGGGACGTAGATCGCTCGCATGGGGTCGGTGAGGTACATGACCTCGCGCGCCAGGCGGCCGATGAAGTTGACCGACCTGCGGGGGGGGG